CCGCAGGGCAGGATGGTTTCTCAGGGGCTTTCTATAAGGCTTATTGGGATATTATTCAGGATGATGTAGTCAGTATGGTTCGGAGCTACTTTGCAGGACGGGCTGAACGGTGCATCGGGCAGGATTAGTAAAATCCGTTGACCTGGTCAAGCTTGCTGCTGGCCAATAGTAGCAGAGTCCCTTCTGGGCTCCAGAGGGATTGGGCTATTATTACTGGGGGTTTGCTGTTTGTTCGCGTCAGCCTGTTAGTACCTTATACACGCACCTTGAATTTTTGATGTTTGGAGAAGTTGGGGTCAAGGGAACAGGACATTTGCTTGTTTTGCAGGTTTGTTTCTTTGGCCTCTGAGGCACTGACTGGTCTATAGGCCTCTTCGATTTCGCCTTTGCGGGTGTAACACCCCAGATTTTTGAAACTTTTGAGACTAATATAATAAAGGTAAATTCTCATTTAAGGGCCCATGGACTATGGTGGGCCTTTTCCTAATTAATTATTGGAATTCAGTCCTTTCTTTTGGGTAAATGATTAAATGATTAATTGGTTTTAGGGGCCGTAACACGGGGTGTTACAGCGGGCTTCTTTTGAGATAGACCAGGCCTCAACGTTGGTGCAAGCGGTAAGAAATTGCATCCTGGCCCGGGCTGAACGGTGGCCGGGTAGGTGTTTTTTCAAATCCGTTGGCGGTAGTCCAGGCTTGCTGCGGGCCGAAGGCGGTTTGGTCCACCAATTTCTCAAAAAAATGCTTCTTTAGCTCTTAATTTTAGTTTTTTTTTTTTTTTTTTATGTATTTAGATGGTTTAAACAATCTTTTGAACACTTTTACAACCACTTTCGTAAATAGTTTCTAAGAAATAACTATGGAAACCTTATGTTTTATTACTAAATTTTAAAAATTTTTAATTTTTTTTAATTAAAAAAATAAAAAAAAATAATAAAAAAATCGGCGCCTAGGGGGCGCCTAGCGTGTTTTGCAACATTGCCTGGAGCCATGTTTCCTTCCTCGTGGTTGATTTCGTTCTCGAGTTCGGCCTGGGTGCGGCTTATGACGAACATCTTTCCGGGGGCACCGTAGTTTCCTTGATGATTCGTGCCCTCGTGTTGGCCCATGGTGGTGGGGCGTGATTTCTGAGGTTGAGTGCATTGGAAGGCCTTGTGCCCTTCTTCCCCGCAGTTGAAGCATCGCCAGGGGTTGCCCATGCAATCTCTGCCCCTATGGCTTCTGTTGCATTCTGGGCAAGGGAAGCTCCTTGTGTTAGTTTCGTTATTTCTTAGGGGTGGCCTCTGGCCAACTGGATTGCTTGATCTCGTGTTGGCGTCGTTCCTCGTTCTTTTCATAGGTGGTGCTCCACCTCCTGTGTTCCTTTTTCGAATCTGTTCCTGAACCCCACGTTGCAACAATTGGATCCGATAGAGATTTGCAGCACTGGAGTAAGCCTCGTTGAGGGTCCGGGGTCTGCTTACTATTAGTGCTTTTCGGGCTTCGAAGTTGAGACCCGCTACAAACCTCTCTATTTTGGTTGCCTCAGTGGGGACCAGTTCTGGTGCGAAGCGTGCTAGCTCGAGTAACCGTTTATGGTATTCCATGACGGTAGTCGTTCCTTGTTTCAAGTGGAGGAACTCTTCGTGAATGGATGCCTTGACGTGTGTTGGATAGAATCGTTCCCATAGTCGTGTTTTGAGGCTTTCCCAGTCGAATCCTGGTTCCTGTCTGTAAGTGGGCCCTTCGTGGATCCACCAAAGGTCTGCCTCGTGTCCGAAATAGAATGAGGCTATCTCTACACGACGTTCCTCTGGGCATCCTACCAACCCTAGAATCTTGTCTATGGTCCGGATCCATTCTTCGAGGATTACGCGATCTTCTTCTCCTGCGAATGTGGGTGGTCGATGATTTGAAACTTGTCGGGTGACTTCCGAGTTCGTGTTTGATGGAGGTGGTGGGGTCTGTTGTTGCGGAGAGCTACGTCGCTTAGTGTCTGGGCGACTTGTGTTAGTTGCTGTAGGGTTTGAGTCAGGGGATCGTGTGTGGTGGGTTCCGGGGTCCTTGATTGTCTTCGGTTCGGTGCCATGCTGCTGTTTACTGGGCCAATGTTTATAGTAATGTCGAGTTAGAGTTTTGTACCCTTACCTTGGTGCGGTAAGCGGAGGGGAAGTTCTTTTTAATTTAAACAAGAGTGAGGGGGAATATGTGATGGTGGTTATGCTCACAATCTCACCACGCGTCTTAAGTCTCCTGAGTCCTATGTACTTAAATACTTCGAGTTTAAGCCTATTGTCCTAAGGTCTTGGTCTTAAGAGTCTTATCCTAGGGTCGAACTTAGGCTCTGATACCAACTGTAACACCCCAGATTTTCGAAACTTTTGAGACTAATATAATAAAGGTAAATTCTCATTTAAATCCCAACATAACGTAAGAGTGCGGGGTGCTATGCCAGACCTGAGCTAGAGAACTCAGGCGCACAGGCTATTAACTAATATCCTCAATAATGTCAATACATAAGTATGGCACGCAGACCGAAAAGGGAAACTATCTACTCTACGCTCCGAATCTCTAGCACGCTCCAGTGTCTACTCATCTGTGCCTGAAAGCCAAATATATCTGTTCAGCGAGAGATGCTGGTAACCCACTCCAACGCGTTGAAATACATTATATATATATATATATATATATATATATATATATATATATATATACATACGAAAACCATTTTGAAGCAGGAGGATATATACTTAAGAGACACTAGTTTTAAAACCAAGAATATACTCGACAGATAGAGATAAGCACATTCAACAGTTATAACCAAGCATGTAAAGATACTAGTATATATCCTATGGTTACAAATTCACTTCATCTTATTCACATCATCATTCGATTCGTATCTCATCACACAAGCATACTTTGGTGGCGCCACAGGACCAATCGCATGCCCATACATGAGGGTCAGCGCATATAGCTCTGACACGGCCCCGCAGCGCCCTGCCTCGTATCGCAATACGAAGGGGTCAATCGCAACCGACCGATGAACCGCAGCTCATCATAATGTTTGATCGCAACCAAACAGTGGACCGCAGCCCAAGAGTAGTCATCTGACCGCAGCCAGGAATATGAACCGCAGCTCATGTAAGACGTTTGATCGCGCAACCAAACGGTGGACCGCAGCCCAAAAGTGATCATCTGACCGCAGCCAGGAATATGAACCGCAACTCATGTAAAACGTTTGATCGCAACCAAACGGTGGACCGCAGCCCAAGAGTGTAATTCTGACCGCAGCCAGCTTCTGAACCGCATCTCAGGAATAACCAATTTGATCGCAACCAAATTGGGGTATCATGCACACATAACACATAGCAAGCACATGCAACCCACATTAACATATTGGGAAAGGGGAGAAAACGTATAATGAAACCTATGCGTGGTCATCCACATACTAGGAATAATCCTAAGGGGTTCATACTTCTTTCACCTAGGCCAACGGGGTACCAATTCCACTAGCATGCGACGTATATACATATATATAAGATTCGTTTATCCTACGAATGGTACTCGAAACATCAAACTAGACTTTAGGCACGATAAACGGGGTCCGTTGGGACACCACGAGGGTCGGGGAAACATCAAACGGGGAGGCCGGAGTCCCGATTTGGACAATTTCCAGCGGGTAGCCGGTGGGTGGAGGACCACCCGCCGGCTGCCCGCTGGCGACAAGTCTCCGGGCAGCGGGTGCCTGCCCGCCGGCTGCCCGCTGCCTGCGACGCCCTTCTCGGGCAGCGGGTAGGTGGCGGGTCCCCCTACCCCCACCTACCCCCACTGATTCTTTATCAAAATAAACGTCCCAGGATCCGTTGTGGAACCCGAAATCATGCTTAGACACTTTTAAACGCAATTGATGACACCACGTAGACAATTAACGGATCAAAAGCAAGAATCATATAGCACATATCCTATCATGACTTCTAAACATAATCAACACACGAACATGTGAAATCCCACCCAATTATATCAAGAGTAACACAATACGAAATTCCCAATTTTAACCTAGGGCTCTAATCATATTCAAATCAATAAAATCATAGTTCATCTTCTAATCATCAAAACATCAAGATTCATCAAGAACATCACATAATCATCAAGAACCTCTTATCATCATCAAGATCATCAAGATCACACATAAAATTATCTCATAATCATCAAGAACGTATCATCAACATCATAAACGGTTCATCAAGACACAAGTATAGAGAGGAGGCCAAAGAAGATAATTATAGCAAGGAAAATAGGTTTTGTTGAGACATGACCTCTTAGCCTTAATTAATTTCCTTGGCTATGAAGGGTCTTTCTTTAAGATTCTTTCTTTCTTGATTTCTCCTAGGGGGATTCTTGGAACTTCTTGTGTGGTGAGAGATTATTGTGGTGTGGGTTCTAGGTGCCTCCTATGCCCCCTATTTATATACCTAAGAGTCCCTAATTAGGCTAGTTCTATTCCTTCTAAGACTAGGGGATTGGGTTTAGGGATAAGGGCCCATGGACTATGGTGGGCCTTTTCCTAATTAATTATTGGAATTTAGTCCTTTCTTTTGGGTAAATGATTAAATGATTAATTGGTTTTAGGGGCCGTAACACGGGGTGTTACAACGGACTTCTTTTGAGATAGACCAGGCCTCAACGTTGGTGCAAGCGGTAAGAAATTGCATCCTGGCCCGGGCTGAATGGTGGTCGGGTAGGTGTTTTTTCAAATCCGTTGGCGGTAGTCCAGGCTTGCTGCTGGCCCATAGTAGCTAATCCCGTTAGGGTTTGGTTCCTGTTTTACTGGTGCTGATCGGGGGTTGTTGCTATTGGCTGCCTTGTATTTCATGCTTATCGGTCTGTGTGCCGAAGTTCTGGCCTGTGAGCCGCCTTTATTAGTGTTGATATCCTTTGACTTAGGCCTGTGAGCCGTTGTTTCAGTATGTTATTAGACTTGAATTTTAAGCCGGGAACATGTGCATGGTTGCTTGGTAACAGGGCTGTCAATGGCACCCCCAGGAGATGTTGCGGTTGTGGTTGCAGCTCGGTCTGTTTGCATTATAGTGCTGGGACGCTATGGTGCAGCTGGCAGGGAGGTGTTATGATGCGTAATGGGCAAAGTGGCTGTTCCCCTTGTCACCTAGCTTGTGTTAGTTAGTAGTTTTTATTATTAGCCTAGTATAGTCTAGTGTTAGTTATGTGCTAGCATGGGACTTGGGGCCACATGTCATAGCCCCGGGGGCCTTCGTTTGTAATCTTTATTTATTTATTGTTTGTTTTGCTTTTTTTGGGATTTAGGCCATGTAGGGCCTAACTCTCCTGGACCTTGTAATGGCTTTTATGCCTTTTGCTTATTAATAAAGTTTAACTTTTTATATATATATAAAAAAAAACCCTAAACCCTAAAAACCAACCCTAAACCATAAAAAACCGAGAGAGCTGGTCTAACGCTTAAGGGTGGTATATATGTTGGCACCAGTGGTTAGGGAGCCATCGCTTTGGACTTTGGGTCGTTGAAGCCCTCTGCGATAAAATGCAGAGCTCTGTACGTACGTGGGTGGCCTGGGTTCCAAGGGTGGGTGGAGGTGAGAACCATTGCTCATGTGGCGGACTATTCACGGTCCCCCCAGATAAAAATGCAGAGATCTGTACCGGAGGGGATCTGTCCAACGCATGAGGGTGGTGGGGTTAGGAAGGCTGGTTTCATTGCTTCTGTGGATGGTCACATAGGTCCCCTCGGATAAAAATGCAGAGCTCTGTACCGCGGGGGATCGACCTGACGCTTGAGGGTGAAACTAGTCCATTTTGGCTTTGGAGCACCGTTCCCACCCTTTGTGTAGGGCATGACGCCCAAGAACTGTCCAGCTTTGCATATAGTACAGGTGGTTTGTAGAATGGGTGTAGGGCCCACATGGTGGTTTAGAGTTTATTTCCTTTATTCTTTTATCTCTTTGTAGCCTTGGTCACTTTTGGGCCTTGGCAAGACGTTGTTTTGGTTTTTTAATAAAAGTTCTTCTTTTCTTAAAAAAAAAACCATAAAAAACCCAAAACTCTAAAAACCCTAAACCCTAAACCTTATAAACCCTAAACCCTAAACCTTATAGACCCTAAAATCCCCTAAATCCTAAAATCCCTTAAATCATAAAATCCCCAAAACCCTAAACCCTAAATCTTAAAAACCCTAAACCTTAAAAACCCTAAACCATAAACCTTAAAAACCATCCCTAAACCATAAAAAATCCCAAACCCAAAAAATCCTAAACCCTAAACCCTAAACCCTAAAATCCCCTAAATCTTAAAATCCATTAAATCTTAAAATCCCAAAACCCTAAACCATAAACCCTAGAACGCTCTGGCTTCTCTCAAGGAAAAAGACGATTTGTCTCGGTCGAGACTTCCGGCCGCCTTTCCGGCGCCGGCGATGGTCCGATCAGCTTTCTCCTCCGATCAAACGCTCCTCCTCGGTGAGACGAACCCAGTTCTACATCGATCATCCTCCTCCTAACAACAATCACCCCCTTTTCCGAACCAATCAAAATCGAAAAAAAAAAAATTTCCAGTTTTTGGTCAACGCGTCTCCCGGCGCCGGTGTGCCTCCGATCGTCGATCTGACCGCGCCATTATTAGCTCCGTCTCATGGAGACGGACAAGGGAGTTGGTGGATCGACTCATGTTGATGAAGAACGAGGTCTCGATCAAGTCCGGGCAGTCCTCGTTGACTTGCGACGCCAAGGGATCCATCTCTCTCCGGCCGCGATCCGGCGACTCTAAGCAGGCGATGATGATTCTGGTCCGGTCAGTGTAATCCCCAGCACCATAGCTTCCGATCGGTGCATGATGTTTGAGGATCGGAAGCCGTCTGAGAAGTCACCTCTCGCGACTGCCGAGTTTTCTTCGACGGCGATCCGGCCTCTCTCCGGTGGCGATGATGATCCTAGACCGGCAGAAAGCTTCCCCTCCTTGTTTGCTACTCATCAAGACCATCCTCAACGAAATCGGACGTCGGCTGCGATCTCCATGGTCGCGACTACCGTTTGCTCGCCGATGCAACTCCGGCCACCTCCGGCCGGCGATGGACAATCGGCTTCTGTCAATAGACTCCCCTCCATCATAGCTCATGAACGGGACCAACAGGAGACAAATTGGACGTCGTTTGCGAACTACCCGCTTGCGGAAATCGTGAGCTTGCCGGCGACGATCCGGCCACCTCCGGCTCGCGATGACCCATTTGAAAACACCAGGAGCGTCGTCTCCACGTCTCCTCTCCAACGGGACCATCAGCCTAGTGATCAGAGCTCCGGTGTGATTTCGCAAATCGCGACTGCCGCGGTCCTTTGATCGTCGATCTGGCAGTCTCACACCGGGGATGGACATTCGGAGATGGTGGACCATCTTCTCTCCTCCACAGTTTTCCAACGCACTCAGCCGACTGTTGATCGGTCTCCAACGACGCTCTCTGCTTTCGTCACCTCCACGCCGATGACTCCATTGCTTCCGCTGTCCCAGTTTGTGGAAGGCACAAGTCACGCCCTGCCGGAGCTTCCTGCCTTTGTCACTAGCCGGAACCATGACCGGTCGCCGGTCTCCATATCCGCAGTCTTGGCAGGGCCTGGAGTTGACGTTGTGGATGCCCCTTCCATTTGGAATCTCATGCAGGCAGACTTCCGTGATGGTACGTCGTTGGTGGAGGAGGCTCATGCAAGGTTTGCCCGGTCACAAGTTGAGCAAACCTTGCCTCCAGCTGCTGCCGTTCCTCCCATGTTGCCGGTGACACGCACTGCCCGTAGACGAACGCGACGCCGGCGTCGCACGGAACCTTATGCTTCTCAACAATGGAGTCGTCGCATGGTGTCTTTGGCACATCAAGGTAATCTTCTTGTTCCAACGGTACCAACTTTCATGTTGGATACCGGTGTCTCTCTCTTGGCTAGTCACGTTTCTCGGGCGGGTGTTGGATTAAATCCCACTCGTTCGAATGTTTCTATGATTCACGCTAGCCACACGGGCCTTTCGAGCTCACGGCGGCGGCCTATTACCGCCGGACACAATGTGGGGAGGGGTGTTAGCCGTGGGCTAGCCAATAATATTGGCATGCAAATTGGTAGTCACGCCGCTCCGACACTCACTCCCCTCACGGCCGGCTTGCTACATGGTGGCAATTCCCGTGAAAGGGATCATGGACATGGTAGACCGGGCCACAATTTTGTTGACTCTACTATCATGTCTATTTCTTCCCCAAGCCTTAGTGTTACTCATGCTGGAATTTCTTCATCTACAATTAACACTAATGTTGGGATTGCCCCACGTAGCATCATGGACCCTGTGGTTTTGTCTCATGGAGTGGACAATAATAGTACCATTAATTCTTTAAGCCCGAGTACTATTATGCCCACCGTTTTAACAAATTTTGCTACCACTCAGAATCATGCTCTCCAAGTTGACAATTTGGATCGCCTAAATGTCCCTTCTTTAATTTTGAGTGATAGCCGAATTTCTCATGTTTCTCAAGGAGGGGGTAGAACCCAATTTGCTAATTTTAATTCAAATTTTATCCTTTTGGGCCGTACCACTTCTGCCCCCCCCCCCTGTACACGAATCGCATGTGGGTGGACTAGGGGGTGGTCTACAAAGACCCAACATTACCCCCTTTTCTACTCCTAATATTTTTGTTGTTAATAATCCGGCTGGCTTTGATCATGTAGGCCGTGAGACCACAAATATAGTTTCCAATGTGGACTCACGACCCAGTGGCCCTAATGGGAGGCTTGGTATGGGCGTTCAAAATGGCCTTGTTAGGCCCATTCTTGCTCAAAGATCTACACCACCCCCCATCTCGGCCCTTGTCTCATCTTCACCGCCCTCTTCTGTGGGCTCGGCCCTAGCTGGCCATGAGACCATATCTGCTCCTAATATACAAGCATATGATGGGCGTGGGCTAGGCACAAATATGGTGGGAATGGGCTCTAATAATTCTTGTGCTACAACTATTATTGGACCCACTACTAATATTTCTACTCGGCCCATCTCATCCTCTATGCCACCTTTTAATTTAAATGTGCCTATTTCTACCCAACCGGCCAACACAAGTGTTCCCAATTTTTTAAATATTGGCCGGTTGGGCTTGGGGGGCCTTGAGACAACTTTAGGATTTAATCCTAATAATGTCTCACGGCCAAGAGGCCCATCCGTGTCTCACCATCAAGATGGGCCTCTTCCGGCCCAAGCTCCCTTCACCCAACAACTTTCGCTGGTCTTGCCTGCCCAAGCCCACAACCCCATTACTTCTAATAATAATCCCATGGGCCTGGCCTTTGCCCAAGCCCAAATCAACAATAATAATTTTCCTTTGGACTTGGGCGGCTGTGAGACACCAATTGGCAATATCTCCAACAATGTCTCACGGCCAAGAGGCCCAACAGCACAAGTTGGATCTTCTCGCCCTTCACTTTCTGGTGGAAATAACACAAGGCCGAACACGGCAACTTCTACGTCAGGTACATTTCCTCCACCTCCTTTTTCTAATTTATTTCGTGGTCTGTACATGTCGAGTGCAAATTCCGCTAATACTAGTCACATCCCGGTGCCTACAATTTCTGAAAAGATTATTGAAACACACCGGGGTGAAGCTTGTATTACCTTTGAGGACCACGAGGTAAATCAGATGAATCAATTGGAAAATAATTTATTGGTTGGGAAATTTTCCCATGGTCGTCCCCTACTTTCTGTGATTCGGGAATTTTTTACTAAGAATTTTGTGCTTAAGGGGACACTTGAAATTGGACTTGTGGACCCTAGGCACATTTTTCTCACTTTCTCTAATTCCATGGATTGTATTGATATTCTTACTAAGGGACAAATTTTATTTGATGGAAAATTCCCGATGAGATTGTTTAGGTGGACCCCTGATTTTGATGTACGGTATGAGACTTCTTTAGCTCCAGTTTGGGTATCCTTGCCCAATCTTAAAGCTAATTGCTTTTCCATACCGTGCCTCAAACAGATTGTGAAGCCCATTGGGCGGTTTTTGCATGTGGACGCTGCTACGGCCAAGTTTTCTAGGCCGCATGTGGCTAAGGTCAAAGTGGAGTTGGACTTGTTACTACCCCTCAAGCATAGAATCTTTATTCGTTTGGGTAGTAACCGTCCGGGGAGGGAGGATTGCGGTTTTTGGCAGTCTATTGAGTATGAGAAAATCCCTCCCTATTGTTCTGCTTGCTTTAAGCAAGGCCATTCTGCGAGTGACTGTCGGGCTGGGGGGGCACGGGTTGACCCCACTCGGGACATACCACGCCCTTCCCCGACTGCCTCGGTTGCTC